GTTTTCAGACTGTGGTGTGAACTGCCATAAACAGTGTCGTGAGCTACTGGTTTTGGCGTGTCGACGTCTCCCTCGGTCCACATCACTGGGCAATGTGTCTCCTGGAGTGCTCACACACAGCTCTTTACCCAGCAGCCCCAACCTGCCCACCTGTAAAGGTGAAAATACACCTGTACAGTACATCACCATCTGCTTATCTCCGAGTAAAACAGGGTGAAATGCATAGATGAGTGTGATCTCTCTCTCTCTCTCTCTCTCTCTCTCTCTCAAGCACACACAAACATACACTTAACATTGAAAATAGCTGTATCGTCTTTTCTACATCCATTTTTTTATTAAAATCATTTAATGTGAAAGTTAGTATCATCGTATGGTTTCACTGAAAAAAAACGACTATTTGCCAGTCACTGATTAAACATAAATCAAGATATATTCTTTGCAAACAAGTTCCCAATTCCCTTTGCTAACATTCTCTTGTCCTGTTACTGCACAGATGATGATGAGGTGTTTACGTTCCCTGCTGTGTCGCCATCGTCAGGCTCTGACCTGGAGGGAAAGTCCATCACCCTGATGACCGGTTCAGCTCAGCGCATCTCAGTGCGGCTCCAGAGAGCCACCACCAGTCAGGCGACGCAGACAGAACCCCTGTGGTCCGAAAATGGCTGGGTGGCCATTGCAGACAGCGGGTCACACACCTTCCCCAAAATGAGGTACAGGCCACACCGCAAAGCATCCAAGAGCAAAGGCTTTGCTCGCTGGGAGAACGACACACAGAGTTCGGCAGCGTCGAGGAACAGCAGGAACTCACATGAGCACAGCGAAGATTCACAGCAGAATGGACTCGCACAACAACATATGAACAGAACTAGGACCTCTGAGGTATGATTGAGCGAAAAGCATCTCATTTGAATTCTGAAGAAATGATCCTGTAAATATTTTTAAAGCTGCAGTGTGTTGTCCTCAGATTTGTATGAGTAGGAAGACCTTGTGTATCCCACAAACCAACCAAACCACTGGTTTCACTGTCTTTTAATTCCTACATCCCTTCCTGCCTCTCTCATGGCCCTGAAACAGGTTTTTATGAAACTTTGCTCAACCATTGCCATGGAAACGCCAAGGTTCCACGGTCTGGCCCCTTCTCTCGTCGCTCTAGAGATAATCTTCATCAGAGGCCGCAGAGTCATGAGCACCACAGCACTCATGCTGATGGGCCTAAATATGGAGTAGCACTAACCTGAGTAGGGCTCTAGGCTGTTATTTTAGGACCTGGCAGACACTTTGTTTTGGGTTAAAATGCAGAGCATATGTCTGACCAGGATTGTGTTGCTGTGTTTGATAAATTCAGATCTCTATGTCATTTGTAGAACAGGCTTTAAAAAGGCAGGGTCACTTGACACACACAGGGATTATACTGTTGTTGCACCTGTCAGTGTTACAATGCAGAATTGCTTTTTTTCTTTTTCTTTTTTTTTTAGGTGATCAGCTCATGAATATTCATGTTTAAGTAACGTAACATTTATTTATCTTTTTAGGTGGAAATATAAAACCACAATACTTCAATCAAACTATTTTTAAAATAATAATTATCATCGTAATTATAATCATTTATTTTTTATGTTACAGATGTGGATTTCTTTTCATTAAAACTAACAAATTTCTTACAGAAAAAAAAAATAATTACACTACCATTCAAAAGTTTGGGGTAAGTTTTTTTTTAATGTTTTTGAAAGAAATATATTTTGCTCATCAAGGATGCATTTATTTGGTAAAAACTACAATAAAAACATTTATATTGTGAAATAGTTACAATATAAAATTAATTATTTCTATTTAATATATACTATATTTAAAATATACAGAGGCAGACAAAGTACTCAACTCCATTACTTGAGTGAAAGTACAGATACTGCTGGTCAAATAATATTGTGTTTTATTAGGAGACGCACAACAGTTCTTCTGTAGCTTTATAGGTAATATTTTCACCTACACAATTTAGCAAAATCAGACAATATTGTGTCTAAAATATACCACAATATTAACTTCTTATTATTGAATTGTTGTAAATAAATATCACATTTGCAGCTGGTCAGTGTTCAAAAAATGCTGGGAAATCTCTTCATGTAGCCCTACAAGAGTGATTACTGATAAACTGTCTGAAAAAAAGAGTCACGTATTAGAGAAGAAAAAAAATCACCCACTGACTTTCAAAGCTGCTACATAGTAACGACTTTCTAGTTCGAGGATCTTGATAGAAATGTAGTGGAGTGAAAAGTACAATATTTGTCTTTCAAATGTAGTGAAGTTAAAGTCATAAGTTCCCAGAAAAAATAATACTCAAGTAAAGTACAGATACTCAAAAAGTGTACTTAAGTACAATACTCAAGTAAATGTACTTAGTTTCTGTCCGCCTCTGTAAATATATAATAAATATAAATGTATAAATAAATATAAATATTTACATTATAATATATTTTAAAATGTAATTCATTCTTATTATGGTAAAGCTGAATGTTGCTGTTTCATATTATTGTGGAAACCATGACATTTGTGTCAAGATTGTTTAATAAATAGAATTTCAAAAGAACAGTAATGATTTTGTAAATAAAAATCTTTTGTCTTTTGATCAATTTAATGCATCCTTGCTGAATAAAAGTTTTTTTTTTTTTTAAATCCTCAGACTTTTGAATTGTAGTGTACACTGATTGACATATTTGCCAGACAATATAAAACAAAAATCTAAGATTTTCAAAATTTAAGAAAGTTCATTTTCTAGTGATTGAAGAAACACCTTTTTTTTTCATTTTCTTAAGAAAATTTAAATTTTCCAGGGTGTTGCTATATGGTTGCTAAGGTGTTCTGAGCAGTTTTAGCATGTTGCTATACAGTTACTAGAGTGTTCAGAGTTTGCTTACTTCCCCCAAAAATCCCAAATGCATACTGAAATTGTCCTGAGCAGGCAGCACTAATTATTTTCCTTAAACAAACAAGTCATGTGTCCTCATGATCTTCCACTGTGTGTTTTCAGATCAGCTGACTTGACTGCTCTGTGGGCCCATGCAGGACACCCTGGAGCCTGTCAGGACCATGGCCCAGAGGGCTGTCCGCTCTAGGGGGCGTGCTGGGGTGCCTCATGCCTCCGGTGGATCAGGAATAGGGCCACTATTTCTACAGCCACAGTAAAAGAGGTGCGGCAGGCAACCCGCTGACTGAACTGGGGGAAGGGTTGCATCAAAGGAAAGGTCTCGGACTAAACAGAGAGTGACTGCACTGTGCTGTCCTGTAACAGACAGGTTGGAAACCTAACAGAATCGCTGGAAGCTGACGTGACGGATACATCAGCGTGAATACTCGGCGTGAAGAGTATTCAAGGTATGCCGTTTCTACTGATTTTCGTTCTCCAAAAGCACTACTCAGAAAGGACACACTGGATGTGAAGGTTATATTCAGGCTGTCTAAAGTCGTAAGTGGAGCTGGCACATGTAACAGAGGGAAAGATGAAGATGAACGCATGTATGATAGAACATTAAAACACTAACTTCATTTATGTGTTACCCAGCAACACATTATGATCTGAAGTGGAAGGTACGTCGAGTTTTAAAACCCTTTACCCCAAATATAATTATAAAAACCACCTACACTCTTTCAAAGATTATTTCTCTAATGTTTTGCACCATAGTTGTGTCTCCTGTGCTTGAGAAAAGGCGGACAAGAGTCCATGAAGTACCTCTGACCTTATGCATCATTACATCAACACTGCTTAGCAACATTGATAGCTATGTAAGGTCGAAAATGATCTTTATATATACGTGAATTCAAAGACTTCAATTCTGCTGACACAGGTGTGCCGTCGACCAGGTGTTTTATATGGCCTCTGTTGCTAAGCGCCAGATGAGTCCATCGATAGTCTGTCGCCAGGGCAACACAGTGTCCTTCAGCACCATATGTTCTGAAATAAGTTTGACACCCAAACATCTCAGCTCAGTTAGAGCCCGACAGGCTGAGATGGGACAAGCCTCATACGATCATTTTTGACTGTGTGTGTGTGTGTGTGTGTGTGTGTGAGAGAGAGAGAGAGTCAGAAACCACACAGGTGGATCAACAGATCAACAAAGACAAACAGTGATTATAGTGAGTCTTTGAGCCTATAGGATTAGATGCTCTTCTGGCACCACAATTGCAGATTTAAAGAGACAGTTGCCCAAAAATTTACATTCTGTCATTTACTCACACTCATGGCTTTCGTAACTAAAATGAGTTTATTTCTTGTATTTATTTTGGAAAACAAAAGGATTTTCATACAATGAAAGTGAATGGTGGCCATGTCTGTCAGGCAAAATTTTCAGTGAATATCAGCTTAAATTTCAGCGTACTCCTCTAAAAAAAATCTATTGAAGGCTTATGAAGACTTGGCATGAGTCGTATGGACAAATATGGTGTTTTTGTCTTGTTGTTGGTTCCCATTCACTTTCATTGTATAGAATATAGCATCTTAAAAGAAGTCTTCACAAAAGAAAGTCATATGGTTTGAAACAAAATGCGAGGAATTAAATGATTACAGAATTAATGTTAGATGCCAGTGGCTCATGTGAATGATATCCTGAAGCAGTTGAGAACCATATCTGTCATCTGAAGCCTTGATGATGAGTAGTGCTGAAAGCACTTACCTGTTGCAAGAATCATTAGAGTATTATTCTAATGCTGTGCTAATGATTCTGCTCTCATCTGTTTGTCTGATAAAATGATGCATGTGTATCTGTAGTGCTAGTTAGCATTCAAATTGTCAGAGATCAGAAGAGAGGTGTTAAAGGCATATGCTAAATTTAATATATTTTGATTTGATGTAACATATAAAGCATACTACTTAAAGGGATAGTTCACCCAAAGATTCTGTCATCGTTTAATCACCTTACAACAACATTTTGAGTAACCTTTTTTTTTTCTCCATACAATGAAAGTTAATGGATACCAAGACTATTTACTTTTTTTTTTCTTTGCTATTATTATTTTTTAGCTTTTTGCAGATATCATTTTTGGTTTAACTATCCCTTTAAAGTGAATAATTTAAGCATGACTTTCAGAGCCTTAGAGTAGCAGAACCTCCTGTGGGATATTTCTAATACATCTGTTGTCTTTCACTTATTGATAAGTAAGAATTACTGCGAAATCGTTGTAATGATAATTCAAGCGCACGTTATTTGACTTATGAGCAGCAGCAGCAGCCATATTAACACATTTTCTTGTGCAAACATCTTTACGTAATACAAGGTTTGCAAAATCAAGAGATGTGTATTGAAAAACTGTCGACTCTTGCCACTTCTGGGCCATCAGATGATATGGCCAATAATTAATGCTGTAAAATGATCAACCTTGTCATTGCTGTATTGATTATAGTCTAATGAATGTTCTGGTTGATGCCAGGTCTACATGAGGAAAAGGTGTACATTTACTACATTTTGAACATCAAACATACAAACATGTTTATTTCCAAGGTTCTCGCTGCACTTACTTTTCCTCACTAAATTTCTGAGCTTCACTATATAAAAAAAAAGAGCAATCTAATTATTATTAGGTTTTTACCAATGCTGAAATAAGGTTGTGTGCAGTGAGCAGGTCATCTCAGCATCTCAGGGTTGCCAGTGAAAATAAGCTTGACCCATAAAACCGATTATTAAACAAGGGACTTTTACCATCTTGGACTGGAATATTTGGAGACCATTTATGTAACTTTAGCTGGAAAACATAAAAGTATTATATTAAAAGTATTTATAGTGTATTTTTGAAGACAAAATATCTGAACATAGATATGAACAGTCTGCTTTAACTAGAATGAGAGTAATAACTGAATACGTCATCTGTAGAAATGTCTGATTCCTTCATTGCACTTGCTGTTCATGGAAAACATCAATAAACACTACCCTAAAACAGACTAATCACAACTATTCAAAACTTTCTTTGGCTTTAAAAAAATTCTAGTTTGTGTTTAATGTTTCCTAATGACTGGTTTAAACTGTGATTAAGTGATGTTGAATGTTGAGAAATGTTTAGGATTTGCTCCATTTTGACGGTATAAAACTAAAATAAATTGCTGTCTATTGCCCTCATGTGGCCACTGTATTTCTAAGCATGTCACCATCACACTGCATCTTAGGAATCTGCATAATTTCTGTAGAATTCTTGTATTTAATTTAGTTGTTTTTGTCACTGTAAATGCTGATATTTTATTGCCACTATAATAATGCAAGAAAATGAAAGAAATTGTCATCATTTGAAATTCATCAGTTTTCTGTGATTACATTTTTTTTTAATAAAATACACCAAAAAAGTGAGCTTTATGGTTTATTTAATCATTCAAAAACCTTTACACATTGTAAAGGTGAACTGTACCATTCTTTCCCAAAACAGCAAAAAGCTCCAATCATGTCAATCAATCAATCTCAGGGTTTCCACACAGTCAGTAAATGAACATCCACACGAGAGCATGACCCTTACTCATGTTAACAAAATCTCACAGAGAGATGAGAGAAAAAAAACAAAAATTTTCATGTGCTGATCGTTGAAATGACAGCTTGGACATTGAGAACTAATGATGTTAAAGTAACATTTCCCTAAATAAAACTAGATTAACAAAAGTTTGATTAACTTCCTAGTATAAGGCTTCGTCAGATTGTCGGGGCAGCGAGATCAGGCAGTAGACTGGACCGATGTCAATCATCAATGAGGAAGGAAGAAGAAAAACCCAGCAACACAAAGTTCATCCTAGTTTTTTGGCAACCCAAGCACGCACTTCCAAATAACTGAAGTAGTTTAAATGGTCTGCCTGAAGCAGAACCATTTAAACCAACCGTACACATGCAGAAGCACATTGTTCATTCAGAGGAGATCTCTGTAAAGCAGACTCCACAGGCACCATGTGAATGATGAGATGTAATGCCTATCCGCTCATTCAGAGGCCTGTGTCTCTCTCGGTCTCCTACCCTCAGAGAATTGTGGGTCCTCTTTGAAGCTGTAGATCACAGTAACCGTCTCTTTTCAGCTAGTAAATTGTCTTCCCTGGCCAAAGCCGGCCTGGTTATACTGTTGCCCACCTTGCTGAAAGAATTGCTCAAATTGCCCTCCTTGGTTAAAATTCTGCCCACCTCTTCCACCCCATCCTCCTCCCTGCCCACTGCCTCTTCCTCTTCCGCCTCCTCCTCCTCCTCTACCCCCACGCCCGCCCCTTCCTCCTCTCTCCTGGTGTCGTCCTCCATCTTGATAGTAGCCTTCGTGCTGGTAACTCCCACCTCCACCCTGATATCCTCCTCCTGAGTACCCTGGTCCTTGCTGGCCTCCTTGGTAGCCTCCTCCTCGATATCCACTGTCCTGGTAATGGCCCTGGTATCCACCTCCTCCAGAGCCATCCTGCCAGTTCCCCTGCGCTTTACCTCCACGGTGGTCTCCTCTCCCACCTCTGCCACCACCTCCACCTCCTCTCTCATGACCTCCACGGCCGCCTTGCTGATCATAGCCACCTCTTCCACCACCTCTTCCTCCGCCACCACCAGAGTAGTACTGTCCTCCACTGCCCCCTTGTGGACCATCTTGCCGTTTCAGCCACGTGGGCATCTCTGGAGGTGGGGCTTCGATCTCATTGGGTCTTCCTCCTCGATCAGGAACACGACCCATCAGGACCTAATAAACAAGACTAATAAATTCACTGGTCCACTACTACTTTTTTTTTTTTTTGAAAGAAACATTAAATGTGACAGTAAAGACTTTTACATTTTTACAAAAATATCTATTTCAAATAAATGCTGTTCTTTTGAACGTTCTATTCTTCAAAGAATGCATAATAGTTTCCACAAAAATATTAAGCTGCACTACTGTTTTTGACATTGATAATGGTGTTTTTTTTAAAACACTAAATCAGCATATTAGAATGATTTCTGAAGTATCATGTGACTGCTGAAAATTCAGCTGTGGAAGAAATTACATTTTAATATATATTTAAATATAAAGCAGTTATTTTCAATTGTAATATTTCACAATATTACTGTTTTTACTTTAGTTTTGATCAAATAAATGCAGCCTTAGTAAGCATAAGAGACTTCCTTCAAAAACATTTGAAAATCTTACCAACCCCTAACTTCTGAAATAGTGCAGCAACAATTAAAAATTACATACAATTTAAAAGAAAGTGAAAATACATTCAAAATTAACCCACCTTGTTAATGGCACAGGCTGTTTTCTCCCTGATGTGACCACTGCTGGTTCTCAAGATCTTTGATAAATCTTCTCTAGCAGCAAACAGGTGAGCCACAGACACTCTGGTTTTAGTGGCCAGCACCACACGAAGAGGCTGGTACACTTTCGTAAGTCTATCAATGTGTGTCTGTATAGAATTACAAGTAATAGAATTACTGTATAGAATCACATTTTTATTCATTATTTTAGTTTAATCAGTGTAAACTTCTTGTTTTATGCTATACGTAAAGTAAAAGAAAGATTCTTGTACCTTGGCTCTTTCCGACCAGCCAAAAGACTGCACCGTCACATCCAGTCGTTTTAGCAACATCTTTCTTCTGACTTCATACTCATTCACAAGTGCTTGATTTATTGCTTCAATTTTCTCCTGGGGGTAAAAAAAAAAAGAGACACACACTTCCAATTAAAATGGGCAATTTAACTCGGTGTTCAAATTTAAAATGGTTAGTTTTAGGGGTGCTCTGATTGATCGGCTACTGATCACTATCGGCCGATAATCACGTTGGGATGATTAATCGGCGGTCTCTAAAATACCGATCTCAAAAAAACAATCTCAAGCTGATGACGTTATAAAGTAATTTGAAAACCTTGTGTGAGACGTAATTTCACAAACAGTGTGAGTGAATCACCGCGCGCGCCCTCTCTTTCTCTCTCAAAATAAGCAAATGGCTTCAAATCACCACATTGCGTCTGTCTATAAGTGAGCTGCACGCTGCACAGTTGATACAGGAATTGTCACTTGCACAGTCGAGGCAGTGACACATCGTCACTAAAGTTTATAAATTGCATTTCTTTTTAATTCTTGCCAGTGTTTAACCATTCAGCGCTCGTGCGCTTCTCCTGGAGACCGTACACTCATGCACACTCGCAGCGCACACACATAACGCCAGGTTCACATTACTCCTTTTGCAGTGCATACGTGGTGCGTATTTTTTCCATGCTCATGTTAATGGATTAAAGCGTTTACTGCACACGGTTGCGGTCTGGCAGTGCGTTCAGGAGCGGTGCGTCTGCAGCAGTGCAGAGATCGTTTCCGCACCGAGTCTATTGCTGCGCACTGTACTGTGTAAAAAAAAAAAGAAATGCAATGCTGAAAAAGCATTTTCAGTGACAATATTTGGATTTGAAATCAAAATAATGGATAAATGTTGTGTTTATGGTAAACAGCCACGGATCAGTAGCGGACTCCTGTGTGAAAGCTGCTTCCCCTCTCACAAGAGTCACCTAAGAGGGGAATTCACCCCATTTTCAAAAATGAAATCCAGGCCCTGAATAAATGTCTAAAAATCCTGATTGGAGTATCACTATAAATAGTTATAAATGATAAAAAGAAGGCTTTAAAAAGATCGGTATCTGTGATCGGTATCGGCAGATACTGCTTTCTATGATCGGCCTAAAAAATCATGATCGGAGCACCCCTAGTTAGTTTAGTGTTTTTAGAAGATAAAAATCTAAATCAGAGCTTACCCAATGTACAGGGCCCAGTGGTTTCTTCAGTAGAGGTTCTCCTATATGAGATGGAGGGACCTTGGACAAAGCTTCCTTCAGCTGTGGGAAAAAATGCATTTGATTAGAACCCACTGGCTTACTGTACAAACAAACAATGACTCTCATTCACCAATTAACATGCACATGCATTCTTATATGAACAGAAAATAATGTAATGCAATATTACATCAGCTTCACAACAGGTGCATCATTCTAATGTTGATTAATCTGGATTCGTCTAAATGGAATGTGTAACTGCAGTTAATAATTAGAATTGGCTCCAAATATGATTGTAAATAAAAACATATTAAGAAATCTTGACTTGGAAGTGTAAAACAGTTTTTAACTGTTTCAACTAATACTATTAAACATTTTTCATTAATTGAAATAAAGCTGAAACCAAATAAATAAAATAAATAAATCAGATGAAAAACCTAAAAATCATGTTTCCTTACTAACTGAAATAAAATAAGTTTAAGATGATGTACTAAGCTTAAAAATATAGCCAAATAATATTTTTTTTGTAAATAATACTAAAATAAAAAGATATTAAAGGGATAGTTCACCCAAAAATGAAAATTAGTCCATTATTTACTCACCCTCAAGCCATCCTAGGCATATATGACTTCCTTCTTTCAGATGAATCCAATCAGAGTTATATTAAAAATTGTCTTTGATCTTCCAAGCTGTTTATTGGCAGTCAGCAGGTGTTGCAGTTCATCAGTCCAAAAGAAGTGAAATAAAGCGCATCCATCCATAATAAAAAGTGCCTCACACAGCTCCGGGGTGGTGAACAAAGGCCTCCTGTAGCGAATCGATGCGTTTTTGTAAGAAAAATAGCCATATTCAAAACGCAATTATCACTTTAATTTAGCTTGCGCCAACAGTTGTACACGGAAGCAGCTCCAGGAGGATGACGTAAGATGTCGGCGTTGCGCATGTGCCGGTGAGTCTCATGAAAACCAACGTTTGTTTACAGGAGCAAAGGAAGCAAAGTTTCCTTACTTATCTCCTCTTGGCTTATATCGAAATCCTCTGACATTCTTCTTTACAAATCCTCGTTTTGTACTTCTAATTCGAGACCATTGCTTTGTTTTGATCTCTCCCCTGCGCTTCTGCATTCGTCACTTCTGAGCGGCGCATGCGCAACGCAGACGCCTACGTCATCCGCCCAGAGCTGCTTCCGTGTACAACAGTGAGCGCAAGCTAGATTAAATTGATTATTACGTTTTAAATGTAATTATTTTTCTTACAAAAACGATTCGATTCGCTACAGGAGTCCTTTGTTCACCCCCCGGAGCCATGTGAGGCACTTTTTATTATGGATGCATGTACTTTATTTCACTTCTTTTGGACTGAAGCACTGCAACACCCGCTGACTG